AGATGATAGTTAAGGACCACTCACGTCTTTCTCGCATAAAGGAAAAAGCCCCTTCAATCATGAATAAGTTACTTATTAATACACAATATTATCTATCTAATATTTATTTGCACAAAGGTCAAACTTGTGAAAAATACAAACTTAAACTAATGTGATACTCTCAAAAGTAAATAATTAAATCAGTCATTTTAGTGGCTAAATATTTTATCAAATTACTGAACAACAACCAGGACATTGTTTTTAGAGAAAAGAAAATAAATAACATTTAAATTATATATTTTTTATTCATCAGCATCATTTTTAATTTTACTATTTTGTCTGTATATTTAATACCTAAATAAAAATATGGTTTGAAGAAATATAATAATTATAATTCCACACTTAAAACCAATAAAAGAATAAAATGTCCTGATTTTGGTTGTTCTTACTCTTAACACTAATGTTGCTTCAATTTGAAATAATACATAGATACTACCAGTGTATTTTAATACATTGACATTAAAAAGATTTTTATTTTTTATCTGAAGCAATAAAAAAAACCAAGCAACTTATTTTCAAGTCAAAATTATGAGAACCTCCATACACATTACACACTGCTGTTTTGAGATACAAGAGTGAATCCATTTTAGTTTTTACTTTTTTATTCTTATTTCACCAGTTTCTTCTAATTAGTTAACAAGCCTAATTAGTATATTCTATTATAAATTAAGAACAAATATTTTTTATTATAAGTGTGGGGCGGAAGTCAATGGATGCAGGTGGCTCAGAGCCGAACTTTGTGGCATTCCATGGGACTTTTGAGTCTGTAATGATGATGATAATGTTGATGATGATGATTTTTACTAATAAACAGTTTTTATGTTCACACAAATCAAGTGTAATTACTGATAATCTAATTGCTTATTTACAAACTAAATGCACATGTCAAATAAATTAGGATGTCAACATATTAAGTGAAATAAAAAACTAGGGCATGTTCTGACAATGAATATTATTAATAAAATGAAATTTTAATTTATTATTTTTGGTAATATGGAATAAGTTTTACTATAAACTAAAATGACTTCCACCCTTGCAAATAGTACACAGGTGACTTATTTAAATTCAAAGATAGGCAACAACTTTGAGTCTTTCCAATAATTACAATGCCATTAAATAAATACAACAAATGTCTACATCTTTTTTAATTTAATTTCAGATTAAGATATAATCTAGAACACTCAAAGAACGATTGAACAATAACACTTTATTCTAAATTTGAATTATGTTTTCAAAAATGTCAAGTACCACTTATTGCTTAAAAATGAAAGATACTGCATTTCTAGTTTTAAATTATAAAAAATATTTACAAACCATTCTTTCCAAGTCAAACAAGCACTTTTAATAAAAAAAAGCCACAATATTTTCAAATAATCAATGACTATCCATTATTAAAAAGAAAAGATAATTGCACAATATCAAATACAATTAAATTTTCATTAAAGCTACTGCATAACCACAATCTTTAAAGGGAACTACAAAGGATAATAAAATCTACATCATTAAAATGTATATTAAGCTTTTAAAATTTGTGATATCGGATCAAATTCTTGACAAACATCTCATAGTGTTCAACTTAACATTGAGTATGGTGCAGACATGTCACTTTAGAATACTGTAAATTACTAATTATATGGATACCATGGTGATTGGTATGAACTTCGATAGTAATTTGAGTTTGGATCTCCGTACATAGGTTGTACATTTTGCAGAGGCACAACATGCTGGCTGCTAAAGTCCTGGTCATGTCTCCATGTATATTTATCTGCAATATTTGTAGGCTCCTCTGATGCAGTTTGATTAGAATGTGTTCTGAAATCTAAAGGACCATCAAGGAAAATATTATCATTGTACTGGCATTGAGGCATAGGCCAATCTATCTTGTCAGGTGAGCTTAATACACTTCTGTAAGGTGTGCTGGCAGGCTCGGTGTATTTAGTTTTTGGTGGTCGCTTCTTAGGAATTGTGGGTAGGGCCACTGGAGCTGGAGATGTATTTGGTAGGCTTTGCTTTTTGACCATAAACTTATGAAATTCGCCTTGAAATGCACTAGGATTCTTGTTGATTGGTGGTACAATTGTTGGTACACGAGGATTTGAATCCGTTCGCAAACTTGGAAACGGTTCTAGTGGTAATACATTAGATTTTGGTGGTAAAGAGTTTGATTTTGGTGGTAAAGAGTTTGATTTTGGTGGTACAGAGTTTGATTTTGGTGATACTGAGGTTGATTTTGGTAGTAATAAAGTTGATTTTGGTTTCAATAAAGTTGATTTTGGTGGCTCTCGCCGCTGTTTTGGTTTTAAAGTTTTGAGTGGTGTTTGGGGATTAATTATTTTGTCAGCTTTCTTGCCTTCCGTTGTAGCCACTTTCGTTTCTTTCATTTCGGTACTTAATATTGAGAAATCAGTTTGACTAGGTATGAATGTTTCTGGAGGGTTGTTATATTCAACAATTACTTTCTTTTTTGGAGTGCGTGGCTTTCTCGGCTTCCTTTCAGCTTTTTGCTCTCCATCACTCTGCTTGACCTTCACCTCTTTCTTTATTGTTTCACTTTGTATCTTTTCCTTTTTGGGCTTTTCTTTATGCTCGCCTTCTTTCACTGATGATTTTCGTTTTTTAGGTACCTTTTTTTCTTTAACTTCACTTTTTACAACAGGAATGTCAATTGAACTATTTAACGGTGGGTCAGGATTCGGTTTAAGTTCATTAACACTGACATGATCCTCATTGACATCATGTGGTGAAGGTTCCGATTTAGAGACAATAGATGACACATCTTGTAATTGCTCTTCAGAGTTTTTCTTGGGTTTTCTAGTTTTTCTTTTTCGTGGTTTTGAAGGTTGTTCGATTTTTTTGACCTTTTCATCCTCATCCTCTTTGACTTTATCTTTTGGCTCCTTCTTTGAGCCATCTTTCCTTTTTTTCCTGGCTTTAGAAATCTTTTTTATTTTTGGCGCCCCATAATCAGAATCTTTATCGGAGTCCATATATCCAACATCAGGCAATTGTGCTTCTGATGGATCCATCTCATCTCCTTTTAGCCAGATATCTTCGAGGACATCAAGTTGAGTTTCATCGGGCATCATGGGCCTTTTCATTGAGGTCATCATGTCTAGATCACCCTCTGCCATTGTCATCTCATCATCATCCATGACATCATGACCGAGGATGGAAACAGCAATGGCACCCTCTGATATGCTCTTGCTTGCCATAGCTCTTTTCAAGTGTAGAGGGTGACGCTTCTTCTTCTTTTCACCCTCAACCTCGGCTTCGATGAATGACTCTGGAAGTTCTGTGTTGTTCTTGTTACAAAGGATGTCTTGACCAGACGGATGTGGTGCCGGGACCATTTTCTCAGGCTGTTCTGGATGGCATCCAATATCTTTACCTTTGAGCCAGAGTTCATAGCGATCAGGTTGGAAACGCTTCACAAATGTATCCATCGAAATTTTCACCATATCATTGCTACATGTGCATTGTAGGGCTCTTTTCCCATACTCAACCCAACGAGGCGCTGCAAAGTTTGTAGACTCGGCACAGTTGAATCCATGGTTGAAACCAGCATGGTAGCCATAAGGGAACGTAATCATGATTTCACCAGCCTTTTGTGTCATTTTATTAACTGGTACGGAATATTGCTTCAGAATTTGAGGAGATATCAAGGTCATTTTGTGCCGGAGAAATGCTTGACATGTCTTTGCTGATGTCGGGAAGAATCCAGAAGCTATTCTCTCAAACCTCTTGCCGTGTTCCGGTGGGATGGCGTACCAAGTTTTCGGCTCGCCAAAATGCAAGTAGTTAATAGAGTACAAATCCATATCCTCTGTGTGCCAGGCAAAAGTAGTCTTCCACATGCCAAAATAAAGGTATGCTGTGTTAACGCCATCTATTTCAATGCCATAATCGGAGTTTACAAAGTCAAGGATTGTTCCTAAGTGATTGATGTTCCATTCTTTCACGTCAGGGTCTGTTATGCTTCCATTCACGTCAGCACCATATATAGGAGCAACGTATGTAACATTTTTCCAATATTTCCTCTCCAAATCTTCATAGTTGGTGTGCCTGGGAGTGCAGTACTTCGCGGAGTTAGCCATAACTGAAAACTGCTTCACAGTCATAGCTTTTTTTTGTATATTGATTTGTTGAAATAAACCTTGCTTGCCAGTGACCACTTGGCAGATGGGAGACGGTATAGTAATGTTTAGCTCGTCCAAATCGTATCCTTTCTTTCTTGGAACCCATTCTGGTGGTGGTATAACTTTAGCGAGCCCAGCTTTGTGTGCTCCCTTCGATTCCATGTACTGTATATATTTGTTGAAATCTTTAAATTCATCCCATGTGGGACGAAATACCTGGATAGCGTTTCCACAAACACCCGAAGCATCTTCCCCGGCCAAAGACATGATAGTTTATAATAACAAATTCACATAGAATCATCAATATTTGATCATTAAAAAATCACTCGTATTACACTTCTAAACCACAACACATGGTCTTTAATAGTTTTGACGATAAATACAATAACGGCATATAGTTTCTGTCTAATATCCAAATAATACACACCCGATAAACCGACGATAATTAGTCGAAAACATTATCAGTAAAATGGCCGACATAAATGAGATGCGCTTACAACAAAAATCTCTAACTCTAGGCTCCGTCAAATTGGGTCACGTACTCACTACACTACACTGAAATCGGACCAAAGAGTAGCTTAAGTTAAGGTACGGGAAACTCTAAACAGTGGATTTTTGTAAATATTATTTTGGGTACTATATCATTAAAGCTTCTTCTACAATACGGCAACACCACTATGCACTCTCTGCGAAGTTACGGTCGTTATGTTGGTATTGACGCATTATTTTGACAGATGTGTTTTACAAATTAGGCATATTTTGTTAGGTTATAAGTTAAGAAATTTCGCTCTCATCTAAATAAAAAACAAAATCACATGAATTTACCTGAAAAGATTCTTCGAATTCTTCCACCAAATTACCGCTACCGTTAGATGGTGCCGCCATCTTGAATACACAACTTCTTGTGATAGCACTTCACAATTGTTATTTCAAATGTCACCACAGACGAGACGCGGCGTCGTCGCGTCGGTTCGACGAACCGGGTTCGTACTATATGACATATTTACATGCGTTACTCACGCATCAGTCGTTTCATGAAAGAGAAGAGAAGTTAGTTGCTATCTCATTTCAATTATCAATAATAAAGTTTACAGGGGTACCACACAATTTCAAAAGATAATCAATAATCATACAAAATACCTAACTACACTGTTAGTAGTCGTTAATAGTGTTAGTTGTAAATTTTATTATTAACAATCATTCTTTCTTTCATTGATTAATTAATGGCAATGCAGATTAAATTTTATGTTAAAAAATATATTCCAAATAAATTAAAACTGCTTAAATAATCCAAATTATTTAGGTATCATTCAAGTATATGTTCCCGTTTTTTTTAAAGCCACAGATAGAAGGGACGTCCCAAAGAGTATAAATTACGCATACTTCTAAAAAAAATTGATGACTAACTCTATAAGAAAAAATACCAAGTAGTATGCCCGTGTCTCAAGAGAAAAATGTTGACATTCTGAAATAGCTAAGCTTATCAACGCGGTTTTAGTTTTTCTTTTTTAGTTTATCGTTAAAACTTTTATAGCTGAAACAAATAAAAATATTTGCCCCCTCTCCTATAAAAAAAAAGTGGAAGCATAAATATAATGCCATCAAAAACATAACTTGTAAAAAAAACCAAGTCTCGCAACTCAGTTCTTCTACCGTAAAAGTTGTGAGATCCATGTAATACCAAGTCGATTAATTTATACAGTCCCTTCTTAAGGGTCCTTCTGTCTTAAGGGGCTACTCCATGCGAACGACCTTGAGCATTTTGCCGACGCCGCTCGCTTCAATATATTGCTTATTTGAAATATGTACGACGCCACCACCTATTGTAGGTACGAACGTAGTATTATTTTTTCAACATCAATGAACTACACACAGCGTACAACGATAAATGTATTTTAATTTTTTTATTCGGTATATTAGTTGCATTATATTAGAATTATGTATTTTCATATATTATCTAATTATGAAATTTTATAATTAATTATATATTAAAAATGAAACATTGAAAATTGTGAGTTTAAAAGATACCTATTCACTATCGGTAAATAAATAGATAGCTCGCCTTTTGTACAAATATTTGGTGCAATAAAGAATAAATAAATAAATAGGATGTTTCGTAGATGTGTTTTTGATTATTGTTAATTTTTACGTGTCACGTATTGAAAAGTAATATACCTACCTACTAATACAAAAATCAACAAGAAGTATAAGGGTTCAATCTTTCAATTTCAATTGTAAAAAAACGTTACCCCCACACTAGGATTTTCTCCTGTGTCGTGGAGGCAGTTTACAAACATAAATTGCACAAGGACAAACATCCAGACCCGGAACAATTATTTGTAGGCCATACAAATATTTGTTCCGTGCGAGATTCGAACCCGAGGCCCCCAGCGCAACAACTGATTGCTAAGCCACTACGTCACGGAGCCGTCGCCGGGTTATAGCTAAAGTGACCATACGTCCCGTTTTGAACGGGACTGTCCCTTTTCTCAGTCACCTGTCCCATTGTCCCCAAACAAAGCTCCGGGACACAAAATTGTTCCGTAACTCGTTGGATGGAAGTATTCAAAGTCAACATTCTTAAACATAATTTTTTTTAATCGAATATATTTTATGTCTACCTGGTGCGAATGCTCCGGTAGAAAGAGTATTTTTTTTATTTTGAATATATTGTGGACGTCTGAAAGAAACACTTACGGTTCCAGAGTTCTAAAGGCGATGTTGTTAACAAAGATAACAATAAAAAAACTTGAGCAGAATTTTATTTTTATTTAAAATCATCACCAACTTTATTAAAGCAAATTTAATCCACTGACAAATGTAATTAATAATTAAAAAAAATATGTTGCATTTAATAATTACCGTCTATACCGAATATAATTTTACAGTGAACACTAATTGTATAAAGTTATAGTTTTTAGAGTATAAATAAACCCATGTCCTGTTTTGGTTTAAAAAATAAATGGTCAGTTTAGTGTTTTTATTTAAATTTAGTTTTAAAAATTTTTAGTTAATAGTAAAAAGTAGGTATATTAGTACCTACTTAGATACTTTTTACCGAATTATAAGTATAGAACACCTTATTTACTCAATTATTTTTTGAAAAAGAAGAAAAAACAAGCAATAAATAATATACTATATTTTAGCAAAAAACTAACTTAGTAATACTAATTATAACTTAGAACATAAATGAAAAACTCATAACTGACTTTTTGGCCCGACCCAGGATTCGAACCCGGGACCTCATGATCTGTAGTCGCACTACTACAACCACTAGACCAACGAGGCCGTACTATACATAATAAGATATTGTGGTTGGGTGATAATATTGAATTAGCCTTTTATAGTGTAAATTATAATATTTGTCGAAATTTTAATTATGGATTCGAACCTTACATGCTAATGGTGCTTCATTTTTTTATTTGCATTTATTTCAAAGAAAATACACGCAAAAAGCTTCATCGCGCAGTAAAAACCACAACAAATATATGTATAAGTAATACGAAAAATTATACCCAAAACAAACAAATAATACTACCTATAAATAACCTAATAAGTAATAATATTATAATATTATCGACTGATAAGATGACGTGAGCGCACACGGCGCTGGCAGACGCTCTAACGACACAGGTTCCACGTCGAAGAGCTCACGGCTCACTGACTCCAGCAAGCCCGTGAGCAGTGAATACATTTAATTTTAAAATAATTTCATAATAAAATCAAATTTTGGTCTTTTGAAAAAAATTTTACTATAGAAATGTTCATTAATAAATTGCCTATCCATTGGTGTAAATCGCAAAATAAAATAATACTTACTTTACGAGGAGATGCATGTTATCAATAATAATTTCACATTTATGTGGTTTCGTTGTAAGGAGATTATATTAATATTTATTCCTTTAAAAAAAAATTGGATACAGCTTTTATGGAATCAAGATTATGTAGAAATATAATGTTTTTTTTATTTGTTGATATATCTTTTAAATAAAAAGTAGATAGCTCCTAAAAACAGCACAAATAACGACTAGCGCGACATTTTGCTCAACCTGCGCCTTAAGTTATTACGTAATTAGCTAACCTAACAACATCTAATAGTGACGACATCAATACTAAAAATCTTTTATATTTTAAATAAATAGATTGACTTGGCCATCGCATGAAAACACAATGTATCTTTCAAGTAATACATATTATATTAAATTAGATTGTTTAGTGCGATTGCCAAGTCAATTTTTTTATTTAAAACATAAAAGATTTTTAATATTGATATGGTCACTATGAGATATTATTAAGTTAACTAATTCCGTAATAACTTAAGACCGAAATTAACCGACTTAGTATTACATGGATCTCACAACTTTTTACGGTAGAAGAACTGAGTTGCGAGACTTGGATTTTTTTTACAAGTTATGTTTTTGATGGCATCTCATCTCTTTTTGTAGATAGTTATATCCACGTACCTATCTACACCTATTATTTCATTATATTATACATATATAGGTACACTGATTCTTTCACTGCAAATGTAACTTTGTAATCCTATATATTTATATGGGATTACAAAGTTATTTATGCAGTTAAGGTATCTCAAAAACTGGGCTGAAATTGCAAAATATTTTAATTTTTCCTTGATTTACATACTAAAAAATAATTGTATTCCAAATTTGAAGCTTCTATGTCTGCTAGAAGTGCCTTAGAGTTTTGATGATCGGTCAGTCAGTGAGTGACAAAATTAAGAAATTTTGACTAGTTATAATTCTTAAACTACTGATTAAAATTTAATGAAATTTGAAATATACCGAGTTTATACAATGCCTACTTGGCTACTGAAAATTCGGGCTTCTAGTTTTATCTACAACAAAGTTATAGGGTTTCTAAAATGGCCTGAACTGCTTCGAGAAAAGGATGGTACGGCCGTGCCGCTTTTTTGCTCGACTTGGCGGGGGCACTACCGTGCCCCCAGATCTTTTTAAATCCCCAAAGAATGGCAAAAACATCAGATCATTTGAATAATTCCCATTGAAAATATTAGCCTTACCATTAAATCGTTACGTGGAATAGATTTTCGATCACTATGCGATTTCGCAGAACTTGTTTTACATACAATTAGTTTTTTACACTGCTCAACATAGGCCTTCCCATACATTGCTTTATAAGGGAGATATTTGCCAAACTGGCCAGGCTTGACAGGGAACTGGCAATCGCAGTTTTCTTTTAGCTGTTATTAGGAAAACGTAGCTACCCATTTCCCAGTTTGCTTCCTTCTGCGGCTTCTTACGACACCCACGGGGCTATATGGGGTAGTGGATATTCTTACACCGCCACTACACAATAAATGTGTTTTTAACGTGTAGTGGCGGTGTAATATTATCTATTATCCCATATATGTATAAAATGAATTCTAAAATGTTGTTTTACAAAGTTTCATACAGGTAGGTAAAATTAAACGATCTATTGTTTATTACCTTGAACTGCTTTTCTGCTTTAGAGTCTGTCTGTGTACATGTCAGCCTCTTACCTGTTTCTGCCACCAAATATTCAGCCTGAAAGTTATAGGGAACCAGTATAATTACAAGCTATGAGTCATTCCATGTTTGTCCTCAGGGGTAACAACATATCTGTAGCATTATTTGTTTGTTTGAAGTTAAATGCAAATGTTTATGGACTTCAGTAGCCACTTACAAAAATGTGGACTGTAAGTTCGTTTATCACTTGTTTTATAAAAAAATACACTTATCCCGCTTTTTTATTTTAATTTTCAAGTAGGACGAAAAAAGAAAAACAAATATCTATGAGTGGTGATTTATAAATATACATAAATCATTACTCATTGGTTCTTTAGTATCATGAATATTTTTTATTGTTATTAGTTTGTAAGCATG